TCTAGTCTATAGTCTAGTCTATAGTCTAGTCTATAGTCTAGTCTATAGTCTAGTCTATAGTCTAGTCTAGTCTTATAGTCTAGTCTATAGTCTAGTCTATAGTCTAGTCTATAGTCTAGTCTATAGTCTAGTCTATAGTCTAGTCTATAGTCTAGTCTATAGTCTAGTCTATAGTCTAGTCTATAGTCTAGTCTATAGTCTAGTCTATAGTCTAGTCTATAGTCCTAGTCTATAGTCTAGTCTATAGTCTAGTCTATAGTCTAGTCTATAGTCTAGTCTATAGTCTAGTCTATAGTCTAGTCTATAGTCTAGTCTATAGTCTAGTCTATAGTCTAGTCTATAGTCTAGTCTATAGTCTAGTCTATAGTCTAGTCTATAGTCTAGTCTATAGTCTAGTCTATAGTCTAGTCTATAGTCTAGTCTATAGTCTAGTCTATAGTTAGTCTAGTCTAGTCTGATAGTCTAGTCTATAGACTAGTCTATAGTCTAGTCTGTAGTCTAGTCTATAGACTAGTCTATATTCTAGTTTGTAGTCTAGTCTATAGTCTAGTCTATAGTCTAGTCTATTGCCTAGTCTGTGGTCTAGTCTATAGTCTAGTCTATAGTCTAGTCTATAGAGTAGTCTATAGTCTAGTTTGTAGTCTAGTCTACAGTCTAGTCTATAGTCTAGTCTATAGTCAAGTTTGTAGTCTAGTCTATAGTCTAGTCGTAGTCTAGTCTATAGTCTAGTCTATATTCTAGTTTGTAGTCTAGTCTATAGTCTAGTCTATAGTCTAGTCTATAGTCTAGTCTGTAGTCTAGTCTGTAGTCTAGTCTATAGTCTAGTCTAGTAGTCTAGTCTGTAGTCTAGTCTAGTAGTCTAGTCTATAGTCTAGTCTATAGTCTAGTCTATAGTCTAGTCTATAGTCTAGTCTATAGTCTAGTCTATAGTCTAGTCTATAGTCTAGTCTAGTCTAGTCTATAGTCTAGTCTATAGTCTAGTCTATAGTCTAGCCTATAGTCTAGTCTATAGTCTAGTCTATAGTCTAGTTTATAGTCTAGTCTATAGTCTAGTCTATAGTCTAGTCTATAGTCTAGTCTATAGTCTAGTCTATAGTCTAGTCTATAGTCTAGTCTATAGTCTAGTCTGTAGTCTAGTCTGTAGTCTAGTCTATAGTCTAGTCTATAATCTAGTCTATAGTCTAATCTATTGTATACTCTATTGAACAGACTGTGATAGTTACTATGGTCTAAACAATAGGTCAGAACATACTCCATACTCTAGTTCAGAACCTACTACCAGATCGTACTTAAGTTATGCTACAACTGCATTAAATAAGTAGCGCAATAATCCAACGCGCACTGCACAAATTTTGAATAATACCTCCATGGAAAAATTAGTCATTCAACAAGTTCTTAAAAATTCCTTCATAACCAGTAAATTTCCTATAAAAATCATACCAATATCTTAAATAATTATAATTTAAAAACAATAATTTCTTTTACAACTCATTAAAATAAATATTTATATATCAATTAACACAAGATAATTTGTACTTTAAACCTAAACACCTTTTTCAGGCAGACAACTCTCATTCACAGATATAGTAGAGACAATAACACACAGTGGGCTTAAAACCACCACAAATTTGCTGACACAGTAGGTAGAATATTATACAAATATGTATGTTAAGCCAAATGATTTATAAAATTCTCTCTTTTAATTTTTTTTTTTTTTTTTTTTTTTGTAACGGACAAGTTATTTGATCCAACCAAAAGCGAGAATTTTTACCAAATTTATGTATGTATAAGTAAATATTTGTATGTATTTGTTTGCATATAAAATTTTTATGCTGATGTCGAATATATCAAACCTATACAGGCTCATAATGGAGTTTTCAACACATACAAGTTTTTTCTGAAAGTGTACATATGCATTTCTGTAAGAGTTTGAGTGCGTGTGCGCATGTGTTTGTTATTGTTTGATACAAACAATTAAAATGCAATGGAAAATTCCACTGGCAAAAATGATTGAATTGAAGAAATTTTTTGTTGGTCTGTTTGTAATCTGTGTGTATTTTATACTATATGAGTGAGAGTGAGTAATAAACTGTGAAATGTGGTTTGAGCAATTAATTAAATGTTAATAATTTTTTAATATTTTTTTTTTAAATTTAAAATGAAATTGTTGAGAGTCATATAAACAAAATTATGTGTGTGATGATTTTTAGAGGGGCTTGTTCCAGACATCTTATTTCTATACAAATCTTATAGTAATTAGTTGATAAAAAAAGTTTGGCGTTTTATAAGCTTTAGCATGAAATTTTTATTTTGCTATAATTTTAGTTTGTGATTTTGTTAATTATTTTATATTTTTGTGTTATATTTCTATAATTATTATTTGACTCATATTTTATTGTTTCAACCTTTGGTATCTAATGTTGATATTCTGATTCAATATATTTACTATGAATTTCTAATTTAGATAAGTAAATATTTGAAATTATCTATATATATTAATTTCGTTTCGTTTTTATTTACATCCTTATTATCTTTATTACTTTAACGATGGGTTTATTATTCAAACAAAATTTTTCGTATTGAACAAATAATTATGCCAAAATTTATAAAAAATATTAACCTATTTGTAGCCATTAACTGAAGCTTTAAGAATTATATCTGGACTATAGCCTAACTTATAGTCTGGGTTACAGCCTAAGCTATAGTCTGGACTATAACATAGTCTAGAGGCTGGACTATAGTCTAGTCTATAGTCAGGACTATTGTCTATAATGAAAAGTATAGTCTAGTCTAATGTATATACTGGACTATAGTCTGTAGTTCGACAATAGTCTAGTCCAGGCGCGGATCCACGGGGGAGGGAAAAGGGAAATTTACAACCCCCTCTCAAAACCGAAAAATTTCCATACAAAATATAAAAATGAGGAATAAAATCTCGAGCTGGATCCGCGATTGTTATAGTCTATAGTCTGGACTCTTGTCTATAGACTGGACTATAGTCCACTATATAGTCTTGACTATAGTCTAGTCTATATTCTGGACTATAGTCTAATCTATAGTCAGGACTATTGTCTATAGTTAAAACTAGTCTAGTCTGTAGTCTAGTTCAATAGTCTGATCTAATCCATACTCTGGACTATAGTCTAATCCATATTCTGGACTATAGTCCAGACTATAGCCTAGTTTAAAGTCTCGACTATTGCCTAGTCTATAATCTCGACTATAGATTAGTATATAGTCTCGACTATAGCCTAGTCTATAATCTATAGTCTGGACTATAATCTAGTCCATAGTTTGGGCTGTAGTCTAGTCTATAGTCTGGACTTTAGTGCTGCCTATAGCCCGGAGTATAGTATAGTCTAAAGTCTGGACTATAGTCTAGTCTATAGCCTGGACTGTAGTCTAGTCCATAGTGTGGATTGTAGTATCGCCTATAGTATGGACTATAGTCTAGTCTATAGTCTGGACTATAATCTAGTCTATACCCCGGAATATAGTCTAGTCTATAATTTGCACTATAGTGTAGCCTATATTCTGGGATATAGTCTAGACTATAGTTTAGTCTATGGTCTAGCATATATAATAGACTAAAGTCAAGACTATAGTCTAGTCTAAACTTTAGTCAAGTCTATAGTCTATGCTACATTCTATCCTACAGTCTGGATTATAGTCTATAGTCCGGACTATAGTCTAGTCTATATTCTGGACTATAGTCTTGTCTATAGTTTGTACTGTAGACTATACTATCTGGACTATAGTCTAGTCTATAGTCTGGACTATAATCTAGTCTATAGTCTGAACTATAGTATAGTCTATAATCTAGTTTATAGAGTGGAATACAGTCTTGATAAGTCATACGAAGCTTAGACTATGACCTCAAATTTAGACTTGTTTATATTATAGACTGGACTATAGTTCAGGTTATTGAGTAGCTTATATATTAGCCGGACATTAACTTGGCCTATAGTCTGGATTGACAATGGTCTAGACAATATTTCGGACTATAGTCTAGAAAAGGTTTTTTGTAGCTCTCAGCTAGCACCTGACTTATGAATGAACGATGTTATAAACCTTAGGATCATGAAATAAATAATGACAAAACTTAATAGCTTAAGAAGTAAATTCAGAAAGCTTAAGTATATGTGAATAAAAATTGTATTGTACATGATCAGTGCTGAATCATATTATAATGATTCATCCTTGTGAATCAGAATATAAAGAAACTATTGCCACTAATCACTCATTTAAGTAGAGACTAACCGTTAAATTTAAAAAGCTTTATGCTAGATTATACTTAATATTATGCGCAATTTCTTTTTAACTCTCTAAACTGTTTGGGAGTTAATCGAAATTAAAAGTCGACCTTAAAACCGGACATTTTTTTCCAGGTTTCAGTTTTAGTATAAAAAGTTTAAAAGTATCGACGTTTAAGTTTATTTAGATTTTTATAACTTTTTATACCTACTCTATATGTTGCAAAAATATATTATAATAAATATTTATTAAATGTAAATTTTTCTTTAAAATGCGATAAAAATAACTGCGTGTAGACATTTATCAGTATTTATTATTATTTTTTTTTTTTTGCTTGCCGGTTTTATAATTTCCTCACAATTCTGAATGGAAAATTTCCACAAATTTTTTTTTGTTTATAGTCAAATTTTGGCTTTAAATATTCTATCTCTTTTACTCCCAAAAACAACAAAAATCCACCCTAAAATTGAACATATCTAAAACACTGTGCTCATCAACAAACCAAGTACTTTCAGAACTACTGTGCTGTGTAAATATGTATGTACTTTTTTTCTGTTGTTTATAATTAAATTAAACATTAACAAAATAATACAGAAAAAAAAAAACTAATTAATACAAATTGATAATAGTATTTATTGTTGTCATAACAACTAAAAAAACGACTTTGAAAATTATGATAAATATGCAGTTAGATTAATTTTGCAAATACAAAAAAAAAAAATAAGGGAAATAATCAAATAACTTACGGTATATTCTGTGGGTGCCAAAGGCGTACGTGAATCACTTTTATGAAAACTCATGTTGCCGGCTTAATTCGCCGGAGATTCGTTAAATTCAAATAAAACTGCTTGTTAAACACGAATAATAATCCTTAGGTGGTAACAATTAATCTGGTAAGACTTTTGCTTCAAATCCAATAAGTAGTTTCAACAATTGGTCTTAATAACAAACTATTTTTTTAAAGCGCGTTTTTAATATGTTAGCAAAATAGTCCAGAAACTTCTAAACAGTTGAAGTTTGTGTTTTAATAACAACTTTATTGAAAAAAATACGTTGTTATATTTTAAAATTAATTATACAGAAAAAAAAAACAATTTATGTTTTTTTTAACAAACTAAAGAAATTGCAGTAAACTTTAAAATAAAATTCTTTACTCAATTTCTATACAAAAAAATTCTAATTAAACTACTTTATATAGAAACAAATTGTAATACTTTAAGTAAAACTTATAAAAATATTTGAAAACTTTGTTTAGAATTTTGAAAAATTTGTAACTGTTAGATTTTTGTATTCGGTTTTTTTTAGTTTGAGATTTGTTGCAAATAAAGAAAAGAGACAACCGCACTGTTTGCAATACAAAGCAAGAATGCCAACATTGCCATTTCATTACACGACCGTAACCCTCCAACAGCACAAATTTCGAATTCGTTCAATACACTTCAGTCAGCAGCAACACTGCACAACACACAGTTAGAAAACAATACGGCAAGCAAGTAATTTAAAACAGACAGACCAACTCAACAATGTCTAACCAACTGACTGACCGACCGACAAACTGACGAATAGTCTGTCACGCTGTTAGACAACAGTATGTACTGAATGTACCGAATATGAGTGTACATAATGATATTTTACTTTAAGTGTAGTGTACCCCAAGTGAGTGTGTATGTGTGTGTATTTTCATGGAAATTATATGCGTTTTACTGACATTGCTGCGGCGATCGGTGGTTCTCAAATTGTTTCGATTTACTATACAAAGTAAGCATGACTGATTGAAAAATGTCTTAATTAATAGTTAATGACTTTCGCTTTGATTTCATGTTCTAGCCAGAATCCTAGTTATCAGTATTTGAGTTTTCATGTGAGTTGAGTGCAAAAAAATCTATTTAAAACAGAGATCGACAGAGAGTAAGAAATGAGCTCTCTGACTATTTTGGCCTATGACGAAAAACTCAAGACTTATATATAGTCGATAAATATAGTTTCGAGATGATAAACCGAACCATAGTTGAGACTACAGCTGGTCTAAAGATAGTAGTTAAATCAATACTATGGACAGTACTGTAGTCAAGTTTATAGACTGGACTACGGTCGAAACTGTACACTGAACAAGGCTTTAGGCAAGATTTTAGACAAAAATATAGCCGGCGATATAAAATGATTTTCGTAGTGTAGTCTGAACTGGACTTTATTCGCAATTATAGAAAATACTTTGGACGATTCTATAGGCTGGATTATAGATTGCACTATGAACGAGTCCATAGACTGGTTTATATAGAAGTCGATTGAATGGACTAAATAAAAGTCTTTACATTGGATTATACACGTTTCTGTAAAAAGGACAATGGCTAGTCAATATATTGGATTACAGACCATAGTCTGTTTTATATACCATTCTATAGTCTGATCTATAGTTGGATTATTGACAAGTCTGTAGTGTGAACTATAGACAAGTCTGTACTTAGTCTAAACTATGCACAAGTCTGTCGTCTGAACTATAGGCAAGTCTGTAGTCTGAACTATAGACAAGTCTGTAGTCTGAACTATAGACAAGCCTGTAGTCTGAACTATAGATAAGTCTATAGTCTTTACTATAGACAAGTCTATAGTGCAGACTATAGACAAGTCTATAGTGCAGACTATAGACATGACATAGTCTGGACTATAGACAAGTAGTCTGGACTATAGACAAGTCTAGAGTCTAGACTATATACAAGTCTGTAGTATGGACTATGACCATTAGACAAGTTTATGGTCTGGACTATAGACAAGTAGTCTAAACTATAGACAAGTCTGTAGTCTGGACAATAGACAAGTCTGTAGTCTGAACTATGGACAAATCTGTAGTCTGAACTATAGACAAGTCTGTAGTCTGAACTATAGACAAGTCTATAATCTGGACTATTGACAAGTCTATAGTCTGGACTGTAGACAATATATGTATAGTCTGGACTATAGAGAAGTCTGAACTTCAGACTCTGAAGTCTGGACTATAGACAAGTCTATAGTCTGGACTATAGACAAGTCTGTAGTCTGAACTATGGACAAGTCAGTAGTCTGAACTATAGACAAGTCTGTAGTCCGAACTATAGACAAGTCTATAGTCTTTACTATAGACAAGTCTATTGTCCCCTTTAGACAAGTCTATAGTCTTTCCTCTAGACAAGTCTATAGTGCAGACTATAGATCGTCTAGACTATAGACATGTCTATAGTCTGGACTATAGGCAAGTCTATAGTCTGGACTATATATAAGTCTATAGTGTGGACTATATATAAGTCTATAGTCTGGACTATATATAAGTCTATAGTTTGGACTATATATAATTCTATAGGCTGGACTATAGACAAGTCTGTAGTCTGGACTATAGACAAGTCTGTAGTCTAGAGTCTAGACTATAGGCAAGTCTGTAGTATGGACTATGGACAAGTCTGTAGTATGAACTACAGAGAAGTCTATAGCCTGGTCTACAGTCTAGTCTAAAAACTAGACTATAGACTGAATTGTAGACTAATTAATAGACTAGATGATAGACTAATTCATAGACTAGACTACAGACTAGTCTATAGAGTGGACTATACTCAGAACTAAAGACTGGACTGTACTAGTAAAAAATGGAGTTTTTAGTGAAAAATTTGAATTTTTATATAAAATAAAGTTTTTAGTAAGAAATCGGGTGTTTGTTAAAATCATGATTTCAGTTGAAACCGTTTGAGACTCCCTGCCACAAACCACTTTTTTCTATAGAATCAAACACACTACACTACATACTGTTTGGCTGAAACAATACAATGTTCAATACCGACTATATATGTATAAATAGATATACACACTACATTACATACTATTAAGCATGAAATAACAAATGAAACACAGTATTCGCTATTAGTCTGTAGACATACACACTACACTCCACCCCTCCCGGCTGTGTAACAGTTCAAAAAAAATACAATACATATTGTTGTTGATATTATTTGTTGTATTTATTTTGTTTGTGTTTTATTTTTTTTTTGCTTTTTTTTGTGTTTGTATGCGTTTTAGTTTTGTGTTTATCTTTTTTTTCTTTTTGTATTTACTTTCAGCCCCTATTAACCCTTAGCGCCCTTATCATGACATTTTTGCGTTACTGACGCCTGTGTGTTATACGACGCTATTTTAATAAGTAATACTCTCGGACTTAATGCATTTCCAGCTACTACCAGTAGATGTAGAAATTGTTAGTATTTTATTTAGACGTTTTTATTATTTGTTTTACATACAAACATATATTCATTCCTTTTAGACTGGTTCTTAAATGATATTTGAAAATGTTTAACTAAAATTATAAAAATAGCTGAATGTTTTGTTTTTGCAAGTTTTTGAAAACAATCGTTTCATTGTTTGAAGTTGTGTTTACTTTTTAAATATTTATTGGTTTTAGTAGTTGTAACTGACAGTTTTAGATTGTCATGTAATGTCTTGTTATCTAATGTTTCATATTTTTAAGCATTTCCTTGCTTTTTTGAAAAAACTTAAGTAAGAACAAATTTTTATAATGCAATTTCTTTAAATGCTATTCAAATTTGTTTAGGTTTACAATTTTCTCTACAATTTTGAATTTCAGCAAATATTCAGCAAATATAAGGTGACGAACGATTTAGTGTAAGCAAATTCTTCGTTTGATAAACATAAATTAGTCACGCATGCTTGGTTACATAAAGTTAATCTCATTTTAATCTACTGATTTTTCAGTTTTAGGATTATAATAGAGAAAATATTGCCAAATTTTGACTTTACATATAAATAAAAGTAAAATGCTGATAAAAACAATATATATTTCTTGCGGAAATATTTTTTAAATTTTATTATACATTGTAATACTTTACAAGTACCTCACTATGTAGGTTCACATTGATGAAATATTTGAAAAGATTATGGCATATCGATGAAGACTAGACTATAGACTAGACTATAGACTAGACTATAGACTAGACTATAGACTAGACTATAGACTAGACTATAGACTAGACTATAGACTAGACTATAGACTAGACTATAGACTAGACTATAGACTAGACTATAGACTAGACTATAGACTAGACTATAGACTAGACTATAGACTAGACTATAGACTAAGCTATATAGCAAAGCACATTAAGGTACGTTTGTGAGTCATCTCTAGCTCAACCTATAAGTTTCACCTTGAAATAGGCCGAGAAGTAGTAGTAGCTCAACCTATGGTTGTATAAGTTTCACCTTGAAATAGGCCGAGAAGTAGGTGTTAGCGTGAAGCACTGCAAAAGCTTCAAAGTATGTCATGTTCCCTTTCTACAACTTTTTGAAGCCATACGATGACATCCGACGTATCGTAATCTCATCATGTTTTTAAAAATCGGTCTGTGAGCGGACCAGACTCCGTTAGTAAGAAAGTTTCTTAAAAACATTATTCAGAAAACTTAATTTTGTATGCAAAATCTAAATCATTTAGCTTAAATCTTATGAATAAATTTTCATCTAAGTTTTGTGAAGATCAAACTTCTTGCGATAACGTCATTAAATAAACACATACATAGCTAGTGTAGAGCATTAGATGATCAGTCATTTCTACCTAATTTTTACTCTTCATAAAAATTCCAATATCTCAAATTTTTTTTAATTTTTTTAAATTTTTAAAAATATATGAATTAAAACAAAAAGTTTGAAAAATTAGTCATCTTTCAGATAACTATATTAATTTCCAAAATCAACAAATAAAAATTCACACTTTACACAAAGTACAAATGACGTATGTACGTACGTATGCTGAAAGTGTTAAAGTATTTATCTTATCGTCTTT